AAAGGTAGGGACGGTTTTCGAAATTAACCTCAAAGGTATGGACGTTTTGTGCTAATTAGCCTAATTTGTAAATAAGGGCGTTAAGTAGGCGAATCGGCTCATTGATTCGGTTCCTCCATTATCGAGTCAAGCAATAAATCGTTCGTGTGTGACGTTTGTTATTCACGCAAATAAGCTCGCAAGCTGGATGAGCTTGCTCACTGGTTAGCAACTCGTTGTTGGCTCACGAGCAAATCTAGGTGAGCCCGTAAGCTTTCCTAGCTAAGCAATCTATGTGGTTGATTTTTGAATTCATGCAGATCGTGTTGGTGGCACCCTACATCATGCAAGGTTCCATCATGCAAGGTGCCATCAAATATGAATTCAAATTTCACTTCATTTTGTTATTGTTCAATTTCGGATCAATAATAGTGAGTGCTTGAAAATCAAATTCTTTCACATATTATTTTTAGCATTCTCTCTAATATATCGCTCTCAACTCTTTAGCAATATAATTTTACAAGTATTACTCTCCTAAATTACAACTATCAATCTCCTGATTTCATAATTTGTTTGAAAATGAAAAATTTTACAATTACTTTGATTTTCTTGTTACATGTTATATGTAATTTATGTAATGGTTAGCCCATTATCATATTCTTGAAACAAAAATAATTTATTTAGTTTCCTAACAAATTTTCAAAAATTCAACGAAGTGGCCCATTGTATTACAGCCTTCAATAAGATAAAAGAGAAATGTAGTATTCTTTAGCTTTTGATGCTACGTGTTATGTTGGCATTAACTAATATATATACATTTGATAGCTTTATATCTTGAGAAAGATAATTTGATTTGTAAAGAAATATTTGCTCTTAAACACATTGCATTAATGATGAACATAACATGTGCACAAACTATTGCATATTCTTTACGAATTTGTAATTTGATTAATGAATTATTTAGAATATTTTTGTACAACATGTACGGTTAACAAATATTATATTACAATATCTATACGAGTTTTTTTTTTTAAATAAAATATATGAAATCATTCTGATAGGGTATTTGAATATAATTGTTATGTTAATTATCAACAATCAATAGTACAATTAAAGTCACATATTGAAAGGTAATTTATGTAAATTGAGAATGTAAAATAAAAAATATGGAGGTATAAATAGAATTTTCACCCTAATTTTCTCATATTCCCCAAAATGGTATTAATGAAATTCAATTTAATTTATACACGTAGATTTTGAACGAAAATTGTAAT